CTTACTAAGCAAGTTCATGCGCAGGTTTTGGTTGCCGGGTTTTTGTCAAATGTTGTGCTTTCTAGTTCGGTTGTTGATGCTTATGCAAAATGCGGGGAGATGAGAGATGCGAGGAAAGTATTCGATAGCATGCCTGTGAAGGATGTTCTTGTTTGGACAACACTGGTTTCGGGGTATGCAAAATTTGGTGATATGGAATCAGCTAGTGAATTGTTCAATCGGATGCCCGAGAAGAACCCTGTATCGTGGACAGCTGTGATTTCTGGCTATGCTAGAAATGGTTTGGGGCATGAAGCCCTTGCATTTTTTACAGAGATGATGTTCTATCAAGTTAGGCCTGATCAGTTTACGTATAGTAGTTGCCTTTGTGCTTGTGCTAGTATAGCTTCACTTAAGCATGGTAAACAAGTACACGCGTCTTTAATACGAAGTAATTTTAGACCCAACACAATTGTTGTGAGCTCTCTTATCGACATGTATTCAAAATGTGGGGATTTAGGGGCAGGAAGGCGAGTTTTTGAGCTCATGGGTGATAAGCAAGATACTGTATTATGGAACACGTTGATATCTGCCTTAGCACAGCATGGTAACGGTACAGAGGCAATGCAGACGTTTGAGGACATGGTCAGATCAGGAATGAAGCCGGATAGGACCACCTTTGTGGTCATTCTCAATGCATGTAGTCATTCTGGTCTAGTGCAGGAAGGGCTTACTTTTTTCGAGTCCATGACTAGTGATCATGGCATTGTTCCTGATGTAGAACATTATGCATGCGTAGTTGATCTCTTGGGTCGAGCTGGACGTTTTGACGAGTTAATCAACCAGCTCAAGAATATGCCAGGTAATGGTGGGGATCAAGTTTGGAATGCATTACTTGGTGTTAGTAGAATTCATGGAAACACAGAGCTGGGAAGAAAAGTGGCTGAGCACCTTATTGAGATGGAGCCTCAATCTTCTGGTGCCTATGTATTACTTTCAAGTATATATGCCGAACATGGGAAATGGGAGTTGGTAGAGAAGGTGAGACAGCTTATGGATGAGAGACAAGTGAGGAAAGAGCGAGCCCTTAGTTGGATAGAAGTTGAAAATAGAGTGAATGCTTTCACTGTATCGGATCGGTTGCATCCTTTGAAAGAAGAAATATACTCAGTTTTGGAACATTTAGCTGGCCAGATGGAAGAAGATGTTTCAGTACCTAATTCCTTGAGGTAAAAGTTTGTTGATTTGTTACTTTGCGGGGTTTTAATAGGGAGAACTGGTGATAGAACATATCCATTCAATTTTTGTAGTTCATAGCATTTTTGTAAGCTACTGTTTTCAGATTCTTTAGATTTGAATCTCAAAAAATGATATACATGCCAGATTTGTGCAATAAAATCTAAATTTCTGATCGCATGGAAGGTATTATGTTTAGTTTTTGCATCATTCACTTCTTTTTATTCATAAAGGACTACCATACTTGAACTTGCATAGTATGCTTATTTCTCATTCCGATCACAAGAAGTGAACATGGGTGGAAACTATTAGGTTGGATTGATGCTGCTAAAACTGTGCCAGCTCATGTTTTGCTAAACCCCTCAAGAAAGTCTCATAATCTCTTTAAACATTTGCTCATTGCTTCTGAACCGTTTCTATTTCGATCGAGACTGCAAGTGATCCTTATCCTGAATACGAACTTACTCTATTGAGTTCAGATCTGAACGGGAACGACATTCAATTTTTCACATGGCAGGCCCCATGAAACTTCATGGTTTTAGCTTGTCAATTTTGTTGCTTGTCTAATTTAGGAATGTGGTTGCGGACCACTGAAATTGAATTGTTCAGATGACCTTCCAGTTCATTCATGTCTTCTCTCTGACTAAAACGTTTTCCATATGTAGTGAAAACCGTCTGATCGGATGATGCTTAATGATGATTACTGATTAGATGACAAGTAAACATTGTTTTTAACCTTCAAACCAGTGTTAGAGTTCACATTCAACAGATGTAGTGATTATCCATGTCAATTTCAGTGGTGTTAGCAATTGTTGCAATTTCCTTCAATTATTTGGCATTTGGTGCTCTGACTTGATCAGGTGGGTATCCTTCTAGGCCATAGTTTATGGTTAATCCAGACAGTTCTTAAACTTACAGAGATGTCCTAATGTTACTATTCAACTCGATACCTGTCACGTGTACCAAGGGTTTTTTTAGTTAAAATGATCTTTGAAATTGATATAAATTCTTATTTTGATCTCTAATATTTAAAATCGATAAAAGTGTTTCTCAAATTGTTTATCGTCAATCATTTTAGTTATTCTATGAAAAATCTCCGTTAAGTTAAGGGGTTAGTTATCAAATCAATCCCTTCCTTTGAACTGATGGTTTCTTCAATTTAACGGAAATTTTTAATGATCAAAATGATTGACGGTCGACAATCTCATGAATTAAAGTATGAAGTTATGAGTAATTTTTATATATACACGTCGCAAAATCGAGTGGCATAGTAATGTTTTACCGTGGTTAAGGGTGATGAGCAAAAACATTCTAGAAATGTTTTAGGTACTACAGTTCTTGTTAACAGATAAACAAAAGATATCAAACCTAACAGGAGCGAAAGGCTCATACAGCTTAGGACAACCATACAATTGTACCAACCAATTAAAACAGACACATCGATCATGACTCTCCACCAATAATTCAATCAAACCAGCGACCCACCAAGATAAAGATAATTACATTTCGCCCTCTTCTTAATCAAACCTTGAAGATATATTTTATAAATATTTATGCACGAAAACAAAGAAAACAATTTCCACAAACCTTTTTCTCACTGTTTTTTTTTTTAATTTTCGAATTGAATAAATAAATAAATAAAAAAAGAACAAAAAATAAACAGCTGTACTGAAAAGAAAAAAAAAATAAAAATAAAAGACGAAAATCATTTAATATAAACAATAATCTTTTTTTTTCCGCATCAATTGGTCCTGCAACAATAAAGTCTTTTCTGCACAACTTCCTCCATTTACAACCAAAGGGTAGAAGCAAAAGAGTTTTCTTCTTCTCTTCTTCTTCTTCTTCTTCTTCTTCAATTTTCATATTGGAGATGGGTTCCCATGTCTCGAAGCAGGTAGAACGTCGGAAGGCGATCGCGGTGGAAAAACACACACTCTGTGATCTTCACCAGAGCTGTGGTGAAGAGTTTCCATCATGTGCCTACAAGCCTTCGGACAGAAAAAACTGGATGGCTGGGATCAACCCTGAGAAACTTCACATAAACAAGATTGTATGGCCTGGAACTCATGACTCTGCAACCAACAAGATTGGATTTCCATGCATCACTAGGCCTTTTGCTCAGTGTCAAAATCTGTCCATCTACCAGCAGCTCGAGATAGGCGCCAGAGTTGTCGATATTCGAATCCAGGAGGACCGAAAAGTCTGCCACGGAGTCCTCCTCACTTACAACATTGATGTTGTGATCAGCGACGTCAAGAAGTTTTTGTCCGAAACGCAGTATGAGATCATAATACTCGAAATCCGAACTGAATTCGGACACGAAGATCCTCCTGAGTTTGATAAGTACTTGGTTGATCAGCTCGGCGAGTTTTTAATCCCCCAGGATGATCATGTTTTCGACAAGACTATTTCGGAACTGCTGCCGAAGAGAGTGATATGCGTGTGGAAGCCGAGGAAGTCACCTCAGCCAAAGGCAGGGAGTCCTCTGTGGAATGCAGGGCATTTGAAGGACAACTGGATCGACACGGACTTGCCATCCACGAAATTCGAGAGCAACCTGAAACATTTGAGTAATCAGCCGCCGGTTTCATCAAGGAAGTTCTTTTACAGGGTGGAGAACACGGTCACGCCCAAGGCTGATAACCCGGTTTTGTGTGTCAAGCCTGTGACCAGACGGATTCATGGATATGCGAGGCTGTTTATAACTCAGTGCTTCTCTAGAGGTATTGCGGATAGGTTGCAGATCTTTTCTACAGATTTTATAGACGAGGATTTCGTGGACGCTTGCGTTGCGGTTACATATGCAAGAGTTGAAGGGAAAGCATGAAGCTTCCATGTCTGTGCAGTCTTGTTCTTGCTTTCTTGTTGATAAATCTTCCATCCCACAGTAACTCAGTCCCTTTTACTTTGTTAATATTTTCTACATCCATAGAGTTTGGGTTGTTATTCTTAAGGGATAGCGGGAATATCAAGGTGGCGGAGTTCCAAATGTATCATGCGTCGTTCTGCTGTTAGTTTGATTATCTGCAGGTTTATTTGTGTTTGTAATGTAAAATATGAAGGGTGTAAAGTAGATGTAGTGATCGCAGAGTCTTGCTGGAGAAGAAACCTTTTCTGTGAATAAAAGTTGATATGTCTCTGCAGTAAAGCTACATATTCTAATGAATTTAATCAGCTGCAACATGCAAGTTTGAGCATGCCACGGAGTCCAAAGACAGCATAAAGATCTTCAAATAAGAATTTCGAGTTCATGACTAGCTCAGGCCTGAATTTTGAATGGCTAAAAAAGCTTTCAGATAATCATTCATTTGAAAAATCGACGACATGAATCAAGGCCAAATTTCTCCGTCTGACATGTATCATAATTAACCGAGGTAAATAAATGTATGAGAAAAACTTCCTGCCCAGTAGCTCGTCGTTATTTCCGACCATCCAACTTTTGAACTAGTAGTAAATCCTCCTTCCAAATTATAAGAAGCTCCGAATCCCCTCTTCCACGATGATAAATTAAAACAAAAAAATGCGGGTCTCTCTTTTCCCTGATGTGGGATTCACTCTCAACATGACTACAACATATCAGATTTGATATACCAAAGAGACGACATTGATGGGTAATGATGCAGCTTTCCTTTTCATTGGCATCATGAGCAACACTTGGTTGCCAAGAAGAAAACTTTTATCACTTTTCTAAAAGAAAGAAAGTAATGTCTGCCACGTTAATTTATTCATGTTAGGAGTATGGCATACAATACAACACAAAGTGAAGTGAAGAGCAGCACAAGATGTGTTCAAGTCAGTACAATCAATTACGAGTGCAATATACACACCGTTGCAGGTATGTTTTACGAGTTTGGGGGCATACAAAAGAAATGGGAAAACTACAAGGGGATGAGAAAAATGGACCGGAGATTACAAGGGAAAAAGCAGGGCAAGCAAAAACAAAAATATTTGCTGCTCAATATCTTCTAGTTAAGAACTAACCACTTCAGATATGACTGTATATCCAATGCTGCCATGTTGCTGGAATCAGACAAGGAAAGCTTTACCATGGTCTACTTCCTTCTACAAAATTTCTGTTTCAGATCTTCCTCAAGTCGTTGGAATATTGGTGAGAATGCTCCTGCAATTAAAATAGAACCATATCTTATACATTTTACATCCAAAACATTTGGAGAGAGGTCTTGCAAGTTAAATATGTTGGATGTAATGATTATTCTTTCTTTGGGAAAGTAAACAAAAGATACGAACGTTGTTTTGCTGGCCAAATGGTGAAAAAAAAAAAAAACATTTGGATTACTTATGCTGTGATCATCACTATCATTCTTAATGAGAGTGTTTAGCATATTTTTTTTTTGAGCTGCCTCCAATTTGAAAATATACAACTTTAAAAATTTAGTGACATCCAACCGATTATAACGGAAACTAAAGTGGATGAGAACAAGTAACATATGAAAAAGTTATGGCGATAATTCATAACAGTATGAATGCAAGGCAACAAGGCAGTTGAGACATTTGTAGGTCAATCATTTTGGCGATCCAAATCATTCACACACACAAGGAAATATAGATTGCACTAATGTTGGCGACAGCTCAAAGCTAGTAAAAAAAATGTAAAAGCATCACCCGAGTGTAGTACAAATGTTTATATTAATAAAATTTATAAACAAAATTTAAGAAATAGGTGGGTGAAAACCTGAAAGTTGACAAGCTCTCTGCTGTAGTGAGCCTTTCACCAGAAGTGTGCCAGGGTTTTGCTGAAAGACCTATAAGAAAGAAAACTTTGTAAAAGTCAAGCACAAATTCTAAAGACAAAGCCACCACATACAAGCCAAGTAATGACATCATCGTACCGAAACACGAAAACCTAGATTATTTGAAGGCAAGTTCAAACAGCTTGAGCTTGTGCATGCCTCTTGCTTATCTTCACAACTGATAACTCTATCACAATCTTGTGGCCCACCCTTCAAGATTGCATCTGAGTGATCTTTTGTCATGGTGATCTGTTAAAAGTTAGATAGTGCTGCTTGTAAGTACACACCAATATCACTTGATAAATAAACCGAAAAAACAAATTAACAGATGAGCATACATCGAGCGTAAATGAGGATGTGTTCAAGTTACATGATGCACCACCACAGCTGAAAAAGGATTTGGTTGATTCCAATACATGTATAGCACCAAATTTTCGGTCGAGGCCCTGCAAAGCAGACAAGACAATGACAAAATGCAAGAGATAATGGAAATTATGAGACGAAACTATGTAAGTCAGTCTTCTCAGTCCTCATAGATGCTTAGTGTATTCCTAAATAAGCACGCATTTGCTTATTATAGAAACAAATGATATATGCTAGTGCAAACTGTGGCATAAAAAATGGAAGGAATTTTAAAATCTTTTCAGCTCACTGCTCCTGGAATTGCAACTTTAGGGAAGCCGTAATGTTGTACTAGTTATTGCAGGGAAGGACTAAGAAGTATTCATCTTTCAAAAATTTGAATTGTTCGTAAAAAACTCAAGAATATCAATCTTGGAGGTCTCCAATTGACATTAGAATAATGGCATAATTGCCACCAACCTTTATACCAAAATTGTTCCTAGTCTTTTCTAAAAGCAGGTTTGTCATTCAAACAATCAAATGGATGGGTATTTGTAAGGTGGGTCATTGGGTTTAAGGGAATCCTTGACCTTTTGTTGAAAACTCACAACTTCTGATTTGCAACGTTCAGAATATCAGGTAGGTACATTTTTTATATTGGGAAAAATAGAGATCGTTGAAACAATAAAAAAGAAAGACAAACAAACCTCAAGCATGAAAGAGAGGTTGTTCTTCACAGCCACATGAGATGATACTAACTGCTTGGCAGGAGGCAAAAAGGACCAGGCCAGCCCCCATCGCGAAGTTTGGCCTTGGACAAATTCAGTTGTCTTTACCATGGTGACTCCAACTTCCCAAAGCTTTGATGTTAGGATTTTGACATTCAGTTTCCTACCAACCATTGATGTGTACCACCTGCAAGTCAATGTTGAGACATAAGAGCTAAGTTTCTGAGAAGATTACCCTGAGACAGAAGAGATTTGGAAAGAACATAATGGGTAATAAAGAACATTACCGAAAAGTATGCTTCAATGTGACGCTATCTTCAATAATGCGAGTGATGAAAGCCTTTTCTCCACCAGGACAAACCATCTCGGTTGGGGTCCCACCACATGCAGTTTTTGGATTTAGTCCTGCTTCCTCCATGGTCTCAAAAAATGGAGGGTTACACATGCAGAAGTCAAACTCCTCACCATCCTTAACCACACCAAGGAGAATAGCTGGCCCGTGATATGTGGATGAAGAGGAGGGCAAAGGCACTGCTTCCCTTTCCATATTCTCGGTCAATTCTATTTTGCTTTCAGTACTATCCAACATCCCATTTGGCGATCCTTCCAGTGGAAGGGTCTCTTTAACACTTTCAACCTTTCTAATTTCAATAAGTTCCGCGATATGTGGATTATCTCTAATATTTTTTTCTGCCCACTCTAGTGCTACATCACTCACATCTGCAACCAAGGTCAGTGAAAATGAAGCGTTGTTAAGTTGTAAAGTATTGATGTATTCAAAAAACCAAGTATGAAAATGCTAACTAAAACAACTAATAAACAACCTGACCCAACAAAGCTCCAACCGAGAAGAGAAGCACCAAGAAGCGGATATATGCAGTTTGCTCCAGTTCCAATATCAAAGCCCCTAACTTTATCACCATTGCTTGTAGTCTTCACAATGATGTCAGATGAGAGAAGATCTTCAATCCAATGAATGTAATTCGATCTATTGGGCACAGTGGGGCACAGCTGCCCATCTGGAATCCACCTGGGAAATCAAATTCAAATTGAACGTCCTATATTATGAACCCCCATGAAAATGCTTCTTCATTAACTGAATAGACTTCGGGAATCAAGGATTCAACTGGGTTTACACACCGTAACAAAAAGGCGAGACTTGAGAGGGAACTATACAATGAGTTAGGAGTTATAATAAGCTGGGACTCGAAGATATAAAAGCTAAAGCCGCAAGAGCTTTATCACATTACTAAGCTAAGTATAATTGTGTCCTCAATGTAACATTAAACCTACGATTTTATCTGCGTAACGAAGATGGTACCAAGATTAGGAACCTTTTTAATTTGATCATCCAAGTAAACCGAACAGGCTGCAACGTTTCATACTTGCATGCCTACTGGGATCCTAGTAAAACTTTTGAAGCCAATTAAGGTGGCATGGTTATAAATTCAGTGACAGAATCAGAAGTTTTCGACACAGCCGCTACACAAAACAAGTAGAACCAAAGAATATTCAGCCAAAACAAGAAACTGGGTAACCTCAAAAATCGAAAAAGATACAAACTTTCAAGTCAAAACCCCTCGATTCCAAGTTCTAAAAGCTGCCCAATTAAGCAAATGCAATGCAGAGTTGGATGAGAAAAAAATTACCAGATGAGGCGGTGGTCGTGGAGGAGGAGGACCCGAGTGAGTTCCCGGGTGGCGTTGAAGTCGGTCCAGTCAATTCTGGGCCGACCATCTCGGGAGAAGAAGACGAAGGGCTCGAAAGAGGGGTACAAAGAAGCCAAGTGAGCGAAGTCGGGTGGGTTCTCGGAGTATTTGTTTCTCAGGTGGGTCGCTGGTCGCTCCTCCTTTCTCTTCCTCTTCTTATTTTTGTTCATCGACATTTGAGAGTGAATCATGCTCCAGTGATTTTGCGTTCTGATACTTGTGGGTTAGCCAGCTGAAATTTGGGCTTACCCATCACCCACATTTTTGATTGCGACTTCGAAGGCCCATGAGCTGAACTACATTTTCTTGCTCCATTTTCAGGACGAAGAAAAAATCCATTGCTAAAACATAAGAATCAAATTGTGTAGAAACTAACCACCACGGAATACTTCAGTGATTAAGAACGAATGTAAGCATATATTTCACACGATATGTTTTGAGTTTAATTTCTACTGTTGGTGAATCACACGATGGTGGTTAAGGAGAAGTTGAAATGCCTATGTAAGTCTTCCCGGCTTCCGAAATAATGGATTATCGTTACGAAGTCACTAACTAGTTCCTTTTTAAGAAAAAAAAAATTGTACAGAAACTATCAAACCCTTCAAGAAACTCTCATAGTTTGGAAAATTGTTTTGATATACAATCTCATTACCAATAAACAAGACTACAAATATCAATGAAAAGCACCGAATATCTTGTCCAAATAGGGGACATGCCTTTATATTATTACACAGGGTAATTAGTCACAATAAAGATGTTTTGGCATTTGGGTGCACTTTTGATCACACTTTCTAAAATTGCTCTTTTAATCAAATTTGCTTGTGAGAAATGCATATTATTCTTCGTTAATTAGAAAAAGAACAAAAACACATCGTCGTTCTAACGACACTCTCCCTTTTCGACGTTGAACCCCCTCTAAGACAACACCACAACGACACTCTCCCTTTTTGCAGCGTTCGTCCCCTTTCTAAAAAATTGCACGCAAGTTTTTACAATATAAAGGACGCTATGGACTTTTCAAAGGCATAATTGACGAATCATCATCAATTTTTAGAAAGTGTGATCAAAATTGCAACTAAATGTCAAAATATGTATATTATGGCTAATTGCTCTATTATATATTCACTTTGCCTTTATATTGTTTGTACTAGCTAGACAAGGCCCAAATCATTGGGAATATTTTTTACTCACTGCTCTGATAATGTTCATCACCCATCATATTTATTATTGTCAGATGAGTTTAAAATTCGAGATTTATGTAGTGGATAAACATAAATTTCAAAATTTAAACCCACTCAACGATGATAAATAGAATGGTAAGCATTACTATCACTTCAGGACAGTGAGCAAAAATACACTCTAAATCATTTATGAGAAACAAAAGTTCAACACACAAATGGTTGATGAAAAGCTCCCCACAATAGTTGCTCAAATGTTCTTGTCAATATGGTGTCTCGTGCATGCCTTTTTTTTTTTTGGTCGAATTTCGTGCATGTTTAATGAACTTATACATTCAAAAATGGACAGACAATAAAGGACTAGTGTGACGACCCGTCCCTAGTTTTACAATTTTATTAATATTAAAAGAGTGAATTTACGAAAATGCCCTTATAGGCGAGGATGTTGACCTTAGTTGACCAACGTGTCATGAGACTTATGAAACATTCTTTTAGCATATCCTCATAGTGCTCGTCACTATGAACGCGTGGGCGCAAGCGGAATTGAATTTGGAGCTAGATGGAGATTTTATGGACTTACAAAGTTCAAGAGCATTTTGGAAGATTCATTATTCTAGATAAACACCCTTCATTATTTTATTAATTTTTCTATGTAGATTTTCTGCATGATGGGACCCACCCACGTGGGTCTCCAATCACCATTGTTCCCGTGTCCTCTCACTCCCACTCTCCTGGACCTATTTCTCTTGAGTAATGCTATTCTTACCACAATTTTATACCATATTTTTTTACCATCTTAGGTGGTAGATGAGTTAGACAATCTACATCATTTTAATTTCAATATTTTTATTAATTAAAACAATTCAATAATCTTAGGTGGAAGAATGAGACTCATCGTATATCACAATCATCATTTAAAAAGATTGAAATTAAATGATGTAGCTTGTCCAACTTATCTGCCACCTAAGATGGTAAAGAAATGTGGTATAAAATTGTGGTAAGAATAGCATTACTCATTTCTCTTTCAAAAAATTTCTTCACTGTCTCTCTCTTTCTCATATCTTCCGCACCTTCATCTCTCTCGTTCTCCTTCCCGTGAACCACCAAGACAGCACCCACACACAAACATCTTGCCGCTTTGGCGAGCTCCATCACCGTTGCTAACTAGGTTGCTTCGATAAGATCTGTGAGTTCTCAGCCCAAAAACTAGGACTTACACTATCAGTGGCCACTGCCACTGTTTATCTTCCTTCTCCAGCAAGTTTTTGGATTTCCGACGACAGTAAGTTCCAAAAACCACCTCAAATTATTGTGGATCGTGATGTGGTGTGTGATTCTAGTAATTTGATGGACTTTTGGTAATGGTTTGGCTCAAAAACACCTCAAGTGTACTTTTCTAGATTTTCCTGCAAGAGCTCGACGGTTTCGAGTCATTTTCCGACCACCTCCGGCCACGATCGAGGAAACCAAAGGTACATTTCAGTTCCTTGTTATTCGAGCTTTGATTTGATATATTGGAAGGCTAGGTTTAGTAAAGAAATTAGGTGGTTGAAGCTGGGCTTTACCCGACGGTTACAGTGGCAACCGGCCAGAACCTGGTCCAAACCTTTGGGATGTTGGCCCACGATCCAAGCCCAGATTCATGGTCCAAATTCGGCCCAAACCCATTTCTGAGTTGGGTTTGGAATATTCTCTGGAATATTCCTTATGTTGGCCTTTTTGGAAATTTCTCGGAAACCCTTTTAGGCTAATTTCGACGCCCTGAGTCCATTTTTGGCATCCATTTAGTGAAATTCTAAAGTTTTAACGTAATTGACCACTGAGACATCTCAGTTGACTTTTTAGGGTTGACCGTTGACTTTTTGTAAAATTTACTAAGGACCCTCCTTAGCGTCTTTCGATGCCCGGATTCTAAATTTGCACTCTCTTTTCCCAAATTTAATTGTTTTAGTGAAGTTTTACTAATGGGTCCTAATATTATGCTTAGGTGCAATTATTATTGGTGACTTCGGCTATTCTAGTTCGAACGGGTTCGACTCAACGACATGATCTGTGAGTGAGTCTTTACTTTTAAATATTATATATTTATTTAGTTTCCAATTATACATTTGAAAAAGAATTTCCTACGCATGCCTAGATTAGACTAATGCTTATAAGAATTAGCGAAATAACGAAAAATTTTGAAATTATCAGAAATCCTACGGGATGCACAGATATGCGCACTTTTATGGGGTTTTAATTATGGCCATGAGTAATATCTTATTTATTACTATGGCATGAGTAATATCTTATTTATTACTACGGCCATGAGTAATATCTTATTTATGTTGACTAGAATTATCGAATTATTGTGGCATGATTATATTGATGTTATTTGCTCATCGTTTGCTGCACCGGTGTTGGTACTTGCCCGGTGATGTTATTTGCCTAGTGCTTTCTTAATTTGATTTTTCCAACACTGTTTTCTTTTCCCTTCAGCTTCAATATTGCAGATTGTCTTATTTTTATTAGTTAAATTCGCTTTATTAAATTGGATCATAAAAATCAATCACCTCAATTTTCTCCTTTACAACAATTAATTGGAATTTGATTTGCTTCGATTTATTTAATAATCATTGTGGAGATTCTCCTTTACAACAATTAATTGGAATTTGATTTGCTTCGATTTATTTAATAATCATTGTGGAGAACGACCTTGCAAGATCCATTTATACTACAATAACCTTGTCATTCTTGCAAGTAATATAGGAGTTTTTAACCCTTTTGCGTGTGTGGTAAAATTCCTATCAAGAACCACTAGTTGTTATTTTGTGGGTTATGCAGAAAGGTCCAAAGGCTTCAGGTTTTATTGTCTTAATGCATTTACTAGGATAGTGAAGAGTAACAATGCCAAATTCATTAAAGATTGCAATGATGTGCATTCTTAATCCAAAACTTCATATGTGTTTGAAGAGAAATGAAAAACCTTCAATCATTGAGAGTGAGTTGACTAAAAATGCCACTATCAATGGTTTGATACCTATGCCAATGGTGAGTTCACAAACAGGGAATATTGCACATGTGCCTTATTCACCAAGGCATACAATGCAAGATGTTGTTGCAGATCCATTGCAACACGATTTTCATGATCATACATTGCAACAATCCCTTTATGTATCAATTTCCAATTCTTCTTAACAAGTACTTGCACCTGCATCCACTTCAGCACCTATGCTAAAGACCTTACCAATTCAAACAAGAAAGTCTAGTAAGCCTAAGAGGTCTGGTATTCCCAGTGATTATCTGTGTTACTTGCAGGAAGTAGAATTTGACATTGGTGATCATGATGATCCAACCACATACCAAGCAGCAATGGAGAGTTCAAATTCCTCATAATGGCAAGCTGCTAAGGAGGATGAATTGGAATCAATGCATAAGAACAATGTTTGGACATCGGTTAACCCATTGGATGTAAATGGGTGTATAAGACTAAAAGATATTCACAACGAAGGATTGAGAGATATAAAACAAGGTTGGTGGCAAAGGTTTTTACACAGAATGAGGGTCTATATTATAATGAAACATTTTCTCCAGTTTCAACCAAAGATTCATTTTCAGTGATCATGGTACTCACTGCTCACTTTGATCTTGAATTGCACCAGATGGATGTTAAAACAACTTCTTAAATGGTGGTCTTGATGAAGAGATATATATGAAACAACCAAGTGGATTCATTGGAAAAGGGAAGGAATATATGGTTTGTAAACTTAATAGATCAATATGGACTTAAACAGGCCTATAGACAATGGTATAAAAAGTTTGATCAAGTTGTGACAGATTTTCGTTTTGTAGAGAACAAGATTGATAACTGTATTTACTTCAAAATGGTAAAGTCCACTTTTATCCTTATGGTTCTCTATGTGGATGACATTTTACTTGCCAGTTCTACCGTTCATTTGCTTAAAGAAACCAAAAGCATGATTTCCAATAGCTTTGACATGAAAGATTTAGGTGAAACACACTATACTTTAGGCATTGAGATTGC